TCCTTCTCTGCGCGTGCGGCTGTTTCGAGCGCTCCGGCTTTTCACACACCTCGATCCTTTCCTGGAAAACTGGCGGGACGTCGGATTAAATCCTGCCTCAGCTCTGAGGTCTGGCTTTGGAAGAGCCCCAAGCCATCCTCTCCTGCTCATCTCATCCCGACCTTGGTGGAAATATCGTGCCTTCACGGGGTTCTTGTTCAACTTGGTGCATTTCTGGCACTGCTTTTTTTCAGTCTTTGAAAGGTTTTTTCCTGGTGTGGGAGTGACAATCTCTGGGGATCTCCTCTGGTCGGGATGACCCGAGGTGTGTTAAAAGTCTCTTTTCTCCAACCCAGCAGCCGAGAAGTCTTCGGTTCACGTTCTCAAGGTCGTTTATTATTTCTTATCTAAAACATTTTCTGTCTGGCCTGCCGAGGTCCGTTCTGCACGTCGGTCTGAGGCACACTGGGCTGGTGTTTTCTTTTTGTACTAAAAACTACATATTTGATATTTCCAGTTATTTTCCAAAATCTATCACCTGTGTTAGACAGTGACTTTCTACTCTACACCAATCCCAGAGTGCCGCCATCACCCAGAAGATGGAAGCTAGGAAGAAGAAGGAAGAAGAACAGGACAATTCCCAAATTCCTCCATCTTGCCTCCTAGACCCCCACAGTAAAACCCCCAAAATTTTTCTTTTCGCCCTATAACTATTGCTATTATGCTGTCTGAATTTTGTCACCTTTAATTCTTCATATAAAGGTGGTAATTTGTTCCGTGGGTCGAACTCAAAGCCACGGGGGTCTTTGGCTGCATTCCAGGGTCTCCGACCCCCCTGGCTGGGGCTGGGATCATCCAGGTTTGGGATCTCCTCCGCTCTGGTCTGGTTGGGAAGATCCCAAGGTGTGTCTCTGTTAAAAGTCTCTTTTCTCCAACCCAGCAGCCGAGAAGTCTTCGGTTCACGTTCTCAAGGTCGTTTATTATTTCTTTATCTCAAACATTTTCTGTCTGGCCTGCCCAGGTCCGTTCTGCACGTCGGTCTGAGGCACACTGGGCTGGTGTTTTCTTTTTGTACTAAAAACTACATATTTGATATTTCCAGTTATTTTCCAAAATCTATCACCTGTGTTAGACAGTGACTTTCTACTCTACACCAATCCCAGAGTGCCGCCATCACCCAGAAGATGGAAGCTAGGAAGAAGAAGGAAGAAGAACAGGACAATTCCCAAATTCCTCCATCTTGCCTCCTAGACCCCCATAGTAAAAATCTCCAAAATTCCACCTTTCACCCTGTGAAAATCAGTTATGCTGCTTAAACTTTTGTGATTTGTAATTTTTCATGTAAAGTTGGTAATTTGCTCCATGGGTTGAGATCGAATTCCCAAGTGTCTTTGGCTTCCTGCCAGGATTTTGAGCCATCCAGAGGGATGTCCTGGGTTCCGACAGGAACTTTAGACTCTTTTTTATCTCTCTTAATTTACATGTGCATGCAATTTCACACTGTGTTCATACACACTCATTTTACCGATTTCCTGTGTGACATTTGCTGCTAATTTTTCTTCATCAGAGAGAATTTTTGGGTCGGGAGAAAGAGTCGGAATTCTTCGCTTCGAGTTCACAAGGTTGTTTATTGTCTCACAAATAAAATATTTTTTGTTGTTGTTTATTTTCTCTTATCTAAAGTATTTTTTGTTGTTTATTGTCTTGTGGTTGGGATCCCAAAGGGTTCATGGATTGGATCCCAAAGGGTTCATGGATGGGATCCCAAAGGGTTCCTGGGTGGATCCCAAAGGGTTCATGGGAGGATCCCAAAGGGTTCGTGGGTGGATCCCAAACAGTTCACGGATGGATCCCAAAGGGTTCATGGATGAGATCCCAAAGGGTTCATGGATGGATCCCAAAGGGTTCAAGGGTGGATCCCAAAGGGTTCATGGATTGGATCCTAAAGGGTTAATGGATTGGATCCTAAAGGGTTAATGGATTGGATCCCAAAGGGTTCATGGTTGGGATCCCAAAGGGTTCATGGTTGGGATCCCAAAGGGTTCTGGGGTGGATCCCAAAGGGTTCCTGGAAGGAACCCCAGGATGGATCTCAAGGGGGTTCGTTGATGGTCATCGATGGTCATTCATGGCCTTCGATTGTCACTAATGGCTGTAGATGGCTATTGGTGGTCATTGATGGTCATTAATGGGCATTGATAGTTATCAATGGCTGTTAATGGCCATCGATGGACACTGATCGTTATTGATGGTCATTGATGGTCATTCATGGCCTTTAATGTCATTGATGGTCACTGATGGTTGTTGATGGTCATTGAGAGTCGTTGGTGATCATTCATGGCCATTAATGGCCATTGATGGTTATCAATGGCTGTTGATGGTCATTCATGGCCTTTGATGGCCATTGATGGACATTGATGGTCGCTGGTGATCATTCACATCTGTTAATGGCCAATGATGGACACTGATGGTCATTGATGGTCATTGATGGCTGTTGATGGTCATTCATGGCCTTTGATGGCTATCGATATTCACCGATGGTCATTGATGACCATCGGTGATCATTCACATCTGTTAATGGCCATCGATGGACACTGATGGTTATTGATGGTTATCAATGGCTATTGACGGCCATTCATGGCCTTTGATGGTCATCAATGGCCATTGATGGTCATCGATCGTCATTGACGGCTGTTGGTGATCATTAACGACCGTAGATGGTCAGTGATGGTCATTGATGGCCATTGATGGCTATTGATGGTCAATGATAGTCATTCATGGCCTTTGATGGTCATCATTTGTCATTGATGGTTGTTGGTGAACATTCATGGCCATTGATGGCTGTTGATGGTCATTGATGGTCATCAATAGCCGTTGATGGTCATTCATGGCCCTTTATGGCCAGAGATGGTCACTGATGGTCATTGATGGTCATCAATCGTCATTGATGGCTGTTTATGGTGATTGTTGGCCACTGATGGCCAGAGATGGTCGTTGGTTACTGTTGATGGTCACTAATGGTCATTGATGACTGTTGATGGTCATTAATAGTCATTGATGGTAATTGATGGTCATTCATAATTATTGATGGTCATTGATGACCATCAGTGATCTTTGATGGTCATCAATTGCTGTTGATGGTCACTGATGGTCACTGATGGTCATTGGTGGCTGTTGATGGTCATCGATGGCCACAGATGGTCATCAATGGTCACTGATGGCTATTGATTGTCATCGATGTCCGTTGGTGATCATTCATAGCCATTAGTGGCCATTGATGGACACTGATGGTCATCGATGGTCATTGACGGATGTTGCTGACCATTGATGGTCATCGATTGTCATTCATAGCCATTGATGGTCATTGATGGTCTCGGATGATCATTGATTGCCATCGGTAGTGAATGATGGTCATTGATTGTCATTGATGGCCATTGATGGTCATCGATGGTCATCGAGGGCCATTGGTAGTCATTAATTGCTGCTGATGGTCATTGATGGTCATTGATGGCCGTTGGTGACCATTCATGGTCATTGATGGTCATCGATGGTCATTGATGACCATTAGTGATCATTCATGGTTGTTGATGGTCACCGATGGCCTTTAATGGCCATTGATGGTCATTGATGGTCATCGATGGTCATTGATGACCATTAGTGATCATTCATGGCTGTTGATGGTCATAGATGGTCGTTAATGGCCATTGATGGTCATCGATGGTCATTGATGGCCGTCGATGGCCATTGACGGTCATCGATGACCATTAGTGGTCATTTATGGCCGTCGATGGCCATTGACGGTCATCGATGACCATTAGTGGTCATTTATGGCCATCGATGGCCATTGACGGTCATCGATGACCATTAGTGGTCATTTATGGCCATCGATGGTCATCGATGGTCGTTAGTGGCCATGGGTGATCATTGATGGTCATTTATGGTCATCGATGGTCATCGATGGCAACTGATGGCCAGCAATGGTCATTGATGGTCATCGATAGTCATTGATGACCATTAGTGATCATTCATGGTTTTTGATGGTCATAGATGGTCGTTAATGACCATTGATGGTCGTCGGTGGTCGTTAATGGCCATTGATGGTGATGGATGGTCAGCAATGGTCATTGATGACCTGTCGGTGGTCGTTAATGGCCATCGATGGTCATTGACGGTCATTAATGGTCATCAATGGTCATTGATGGTCGTTGATGACCATTAGTGATCATTCATGGCTGTTGATGGTCATCGATGGTCGTTGACGGTCATTAATGGTCATCAATGGTCATTGATGGTCGTTGATGACCATTAGTGATCATTCATGGCTGTTGATGATCATCGGTGTTCGTTAATGGCCATCGATGGTCATTTATGGTCATTAATGGTCATCAATGGTCATTGATGGTCGTTAATGGCCACTGATGGTCATCGATGGTCGTCGATGACCATTAATGGTCATCGATGTCCACTCCTGCTCCACTGAGTGTCCAGCAGTGCTGGCCGAGGCCTTTTGTCCACTCCGTGTCCAGCGGTCATCGCGACCTTTCACCCTGTGGTGGCCAAGAGCGCCGGCCATGCCCGGGACAAAGGGGGTGTGGCCTTTTCCAGCCGTTCCCGGGTGTTCTTCGCCGTTCCCCAGCTGTTCCCAGATGTTCTCCAGATGTTCTCCAGGTGTTCTCCGCTCCCAAAAGCTCCCTTCGGCAACTCCCGCCACACCGCCGTAAAGCGCCGCGTCGCCGCGTCGCAATTCCACATGCCACACCGCCGTAAAGCGAGCACTCGCGACAACATGGCGCCGCGCGGCTCGCCTCGGTGTATCCCATCGCGCCCCGCGCGCCGCACAGGCGGCGTTTGCCGGCTTTGTGCCTCGGTGTATCCCAGCATGCCCCGCGCCGCCGCCATTCCCGGCAGCCCCCGCGCCGCCCTCAGCAGCCGCCGCCGCTGCCGCCGCTCCGGTGGGTACCGGGATCGCGGGAAGGGATTCCCACCGGGATCGGGATCACCGGGAGGACCCCGGGATCCACCGGGACCGCCCTGAGCTCCGGTGTCGCCCGCAGGTCCCGGATCCCCCCGCGCCGAGTGAGGAAATGGTGAGGGAACTGCTCCCCCCAGCTCCCCCCATCGCAAGAATGGAACCGGCCGGGTCCGGAGCGAGCCCCGCCCCTTTTCCCCCCAGCACGGGCGGCTCAAGCTCCGCTCCCCGGACTCGGCGCGGCGCCGGCAGCGGGAGGAGAAACTGAGGCACTACCGGGAGGCCATGGACACCCTGCTGGGGGTACTGGTGTATACTGGGATCAAACGTCCGTACTGGTCCCGCAGGGGGCGCTGCCCGCCCAGGTGCTGTCCCTCACGGGCTCGGTCCTGGCCGCCAATCCCGACGTGGGCACCTGCTGGAACCTGCGCCGCCGGGCACTGGGAGCGCTGGGAGGGGACTGGTTTGTACTGGTTTATACTGGTTTGTACTGGTTTGCACTGGGAGGGGCCGGCAGGGCGCTGCTTTGGACTGGGAGGGCGCTGGAGGGGGGAAGAAAGGGTTAAAAGGGAGTTTGGGGTTACTGGTTTGTACTGGTTTGCACTGGGAGGGGCCGGCAGGGCGCTGCTTTGGACTGGGAGGGCACTGGTTTGGACTGGGAGGGCGCTGGAGGGGGGAAGAAAGGGTTAAAAGGGAGTTTGGGGTTACTGGTTTGTACTGGTTTGGACTGGTTTGTACTGGTTTGGACTGGTTTGTACTGGGAGGGCGCTGGGAAGGGTTAAAGGGGGGCTGGGAGGGACTGGGTGAGCCCTCAGTGGGTTGTACTGGTTTATACTGGTCTGTATTGGTTTATACTGGTTTATACTGGTCCATACTGGTTTATAGTGGTCTGTACTGGTTTATACTGGTCCATACTGGTTTATACTGGTCTGTTCTGGACCATACTGGTTTATACTGGTTTATACTGGTTTATACTGGTTTCAGGGTGCCCTCGGAGCTGTCGTTCGTGGGGCAGTGCCTGGGGGTGAACCCCAAATCCTACGGGGCGTGGCACCACCGGGGCTGGGTGCTGGGCCACGCCCCGGCGCCCCCTGCTGGCCGGGAGGACCTGGCGCTGTGCGAGCGCCTCCTGGCGGCCGACCCCCGCAACTGTGAGTACTGGTTTGTACTGGTTTGTACTGGGATGGGGTCATGGGGGGGCTGGGGGTCACTGGGTTGTACTGGTTGGGCGTGGCACCACCGGGGCTGGGTGCTGGGCCACGCCCCGGCGCCCCCTGCTGGCCGGGAGGACCTGGCGCTGTGCGAGCGCCTCCTGGCGGCCGACCCCCGCAACTGTGAGTACTGGTTTGTACTGGTTTGTACTGGGATGGGGTCCTGGGGGTGCTGGGGGTCACTGGTTTGTACTGGTTTGTACTGGGAGAGGGAATAGGGAGTATGTGTTAGCGCCCCCTGCTGGCTGGGAGGACCTGGCGCTGTGCGAGCGCCTCCTGGCGGCCAACCCCCGCAATTGTGAGTACTGGTTTGTGCTGGTTTGTACTGGGATGGGGTCGTGGGCGTACTGGGAGAGGGCTGGGGTCACTGGTTTGTACTGGGAAAGGGAATAGGGGGTATGTGTGGGCGCCCCCTGCTGGCCGGGAGGACCGGGTGGCACACTGCGAGTTATACTGGTTTGTACTGGTTTATACTGGGATGGGGTGCTGGGAGCTACTGGGTTGTACTGGTTTATACGGGGATGGGGTGCTGGGTTGTACTGGGGGATACTGGGAGGGGCTTTGGGAGCTACTGGGTTGTACTGGGGGATACTGGTTAGTACTGGGATGGGGCCTTGGACTTATTGGGAGGGATTTCAGGTTGTGCTGGGCTTACTGGTTTATACTGGGAGCTGCCACCGCGGGCTGCAGGAACACGGAGGTGCTTGCCAGTGCTTACTGGTTTGTACTGGTGCCCTCCCAGTATAAACCTGGGAGCCCTTGGAGTGCACTGGGAATGGGTTTGGGTGCACAAACCCTTACTGGTTTATACTGGGAGCTGCTGTTACAAGCCTCAGGGGCTCGGGGGCGGCTCCCAGTCCTTACTGGTTTGTACTGGTGCCCTCCCAGTCCACGCCTGGGAGCACCGGCGGGCTCTGGTGGCCGGCCAGGACCCCGAGGCCGAGCTGGCCTTCGCCGGGGCCCTGCTGAGCCGCGACTTCTCCAACTTCTCGGCCTGGCACCACCGGCTGCGGCTGCTGGCGCCCGCCCGGAGCCGCGGGCAGGGCGAGGCCGGGGCGCTGCCCCCCGAGAGGCTGAAGGAAGGTGAGAGACTCCCCAAAAATCCCCTGGATCTCAAAAAAATTTAGGGGGTTGGGGTGGGTGGGCAGACCTGGTGTCCCTAAATCCCCATTGACTTTAATGGGGGTAGACCTGGTGTCCCAAAGTCCCATTGACTTTAATGGGGTAGACCTGGTGTCCCTAAATCCCCATTGACTTGAATGGGGGTAGACCTGGTGTCCCAAAGTCCCATTGACTTTAATGGGGTAGACCTGGTGTCCCTAAATCCCCATTGACTTTAATGGGGTAGACCTG